GAGCTGGCGGGGAGGGGGCGGGCCAAGCTGTCGGCTGCCAGCAGCTGCGCGAGGGGCAGTGGAAGAGGCCAGAAAAGGCTGGAAGATGCGAGTAAAGTGGGCGACCTGTCGAGTGGACGGCACAGGGAAACCCATGGGGAACATGATCGTGACCTTTAAGTGGCCAGGGGGCTCTGTTCTCTTGCCGGCCGCCCACCTCCCAGCCAGCCAGCAGCTTCCATTTGTGGGGAGGTGGGAGACCCCGGCTTTGGCTGGCTTCTTTGGGAGGGTGGGGGGCACCAGGTTCCCAGGTGATGGGGTGTCTTGGCCCAGCCGCACTTTTCCATTGGCCAGCAGCTGCCTCTGGAAGTCCCCCACGGTGGCAGGGCAGGGCGGGGAGGGGAGGTCAAGCGAGGTCAGGGAGGTCAGAGAGAGGAGCTGCCGCCCGCCGCCCTCCCCCATCTCGCGTTAGCTCACTATGGCACGTATAGGTTTTTGTGAGATGTGGGTGGGGGTCCCCGGGCCGTGCGGCTGGCCCCAGGGACCCCAGCAGAGCACCCGTGCTCCTGGTTTGGAGCACCCCCTCCCCCAGGGCCTGCCCGTGGAGACCTTGGGCCCAGAATCCAGGACGGACCCAGAACCCGAGAAAGCTCCCCAGGCCCCTCGGAGCCACTTCGAGGCAGCTGCTGATGAACTAGCTGGGGCCGTGAACGGAGAAGGTAACAGGCCCTCCTGAGGGCGGGTGCAGCCGCCTTCCTCTACGCTCTGGGGTCTCCTGCCCCTTCTAATCTGGTAGGGCCTGTGGGAGCCAGAGGGCTGTGTGGGAAGTTCATCTGGGGGACAGTGGTATGTTTCCTGGGCCTTTTCGTCCACTGCAGAGACCCCCTTCCAGACTGAAAGTCCCCAGTGTGGTCCCGTTCTGCCAGAGAAGACCGAGGCCAAGGTGAGGACCTTCACCGGGTTGGGGAGGGCAACTGGAGAGGGGGAGGCCTGGAGCCGCTCGTGGCTGTGTCTGCTCAGGGTGTCCTGGAAGGTGACGGTTGTGCCACGAAGCCCCCCGGCCTGGGAGACGTGGTGGTCCAGAGAGACTTGGAGGAGGCCCCTGTGGTGGCAGGCCCAGAAGACACACAAGACACGCAGGACCTGGAGGGTCACAGCCCCCCACAGAGCCTGCCTTCATCTCCCAACGCAGGTGAGAGCCTTTTGGTCTCCGTGTTTCCTCTCCTTCTGGAAGGAATGGGGGGCAGGGCGTTTGCCGCTGAGCACGGTTCTGGTCCAGGCCCCGGCACTTAGCAGCATAGTGCTCGCCTTGCCCTGTGTCAGTGAAACCTCACCACTACCCCCGAGGACTCGGGGTCAAGTCAAGTGACTTGACCGAGGTCACATAGCTGGTAAGCGGCAGGGCCTGGGTCTGCCTGACTCTTTCCCTTGTGCCACGAGGCCCCTTCTTTTCTCGCTTCTAGATTCAACTCTTCTTCCCTGAGCCTCTTTCACGTGTCAGTTCTGTGCCCAGGAGGGGAGGGGGGGTGGGCGGTGCGTGGCCCGTGT